CTGCCAACCGGCCCCGCCCTTGCCCCGCCCCACACCTTTTTCCTTTCCCCGCCTCCCAACCGCGTGGGTGAGTTGGAACGATTCTCGGATCCTCGGATAATTCTTGGTTTCTTATTTGCCAAAGTGAGGGCCAGTCCCAGAACACAGGCTGATAAATGTACTCAGTTAAAAAGAGTTTACTACCTGTACGTAATCTACATTTTCCTGACCAAGTTAGATATCGCCTGATTAAAGGAGCCGCCTAGGGCTAAGGGCCGTGTATTGCATGTGTACGTAAGAGCAGCACTTGGGATTCTGGGAACTGATGTTCCCTTCTCAAGATGGACACAAAAGGTAAAGGGGAGACTCAGGTCGTACGTGGGTAGATTTCAATGTGTAATGATAACACAACATACAAACACGAAACGCTAGCAGTTATAGTAGCGATATGCCTGTGTGACCTGGTAAACAATGCCAACTTCACTACCAATACCTGCTCATAAAGACTCCGAGTGTAAAGGAGGGAATGTAGAAATGGCGACATTTCTGCACAATCCGTGAACAGAAGTTGAAATTCCAGTGCTAAGACCAGCTAATAAACATTGAAATGATAAAGAGGAAGATACATACACTTTTGGTAACCATGGATGAGTTTTGGTTCCTCTGAAGAATTCCTGAGCGGGCCAGGGATTTAGCCCAGTGGTTCTGAAGCCTGCCCGCAAGGTCCTGAGTTCAATAACCCAAACCCTAAATTCAATCCCCGGTAACAAACAAACAAAAAGAATTCCTGAGATATTGAGGTGACTGAGGTTTTTTTCTTATATTACCATCCAGATCTGTAGTTCCAGCTCACACATCTGAGGTGTATGATCATTTTAAAAGGGTTGCGTGGTCTGAAAAAGTTTAGGGCCTGGTTACAATCCAGTTTTGTATGACCAGCTTGTAGTAGAACTTGGTACCTTTGACAAAAAATTAACATACAATATATGATCAATTCCTGCACAATATTTGTAATGTCCTATGCCAATAGTAAATATTATATTCGGTTGCCTCATGGGCCAATTTTTCAGGCAGAAAATCTACTTCAGGAACTTCAAGAACATTTTCAAGCTCTTACTACAACATTAAACCACAGGAATATCCTTTTTCTATCGGTAAATACTGTAATGCTTTTGGATTATCAAATCACCATGGAATTATCGTTTTGTCCCGTGCCATTAGGAGATAATTGTTTGCATAGGATTCCCAGTATTTACATTTGTACTTTGATGTGATATCCTGATGCATTAATTACCATTTACCTCTAGCAGAAGGCTTTACTTCCTGCTTGACCAGCGATACAGAATATTTGAGTGGCAAGTGCAAAGTTCAACGAGCACAGTTGTACAACATTTGTCTCTGAGACTTTCCCTCAAGGGCCTTTATGGCCTGACCTGTACCATAGACTCTCATAGGCAATCAGGAACCTCAGAGAATAGTACTGAAGGTCTCCAACACAGGATGCTACACAAGGCTCTGCCTACCATTATTTTGACTTCAGTAGCTCACTGTTTTGTCTTAGAACTTAAAACTTAGCTTTGAGCAAACTCATGTAAGGATAAGGTGTACCCTATGATTTGCCCAATTTGAGCTCACTTTTACAATCAAATGTATTTCTTTAAAAATCATGCAAAATATTTACCCCTGGAACCACTTATTTTCAACTTCTGATTTTGAAGATGGGTTTGTACAGGACAAAAATTATTCTCAAACATGATAAAATTAAAAGGTTAACTTCAATTATATTTATATCCAGAGTTTGACTGAAACACACCAAACTCACGTCATATCCAAGTAAGGTGAGCTAGGTTTTCAAAACTGAGCTCACAGCTAAGAAAAACTCAGGGGAGGTAGTAAATTTGCATTGACATTAGACTTTGATTCCTTCATTGTAGAAGTTGCTTCTGTCCTAGCAATGCATACCTATGTTGAGCAGGTGCAATCTGAAGCAGGGTCTCTGAGGGCATGTCAGACTGCCTACTCTGTACTCCAGTTCTACATGTACAAGTGTCCTTAACATAGTACCAGAAGAAATGGGAAATCGTATTGAGGACTTACAGAAGAATGTGAATGACCTAATGGTGCAAGCTGGGATTGAAAATTGTTTTAAAGAACAAATGGTAAGGTCATTATGTGACATCTGCTTTCAATTTAAAAAATGCAATCCTATAGTTATTTACTATGTGAATTATTGTTGCTGTATTACATGAAAAACCTTTAAAAATAATAATAGTATTTCCAAATGCTCTTTGTCACAATTCCTTTAAAAGTGCACATTTTTAATGAAAAATTTGGTTTGCTTTCTTCCTCCTCAGTACACTATGGATCATCTTTGGGGGAGTTGGGAGTTTTGGAGTCATTTCTTTGCCTTATCTTCTCATGTTTCCATAGTTGTTTGTTTGGTTTGATTTGTTTGTGCTGAGGTTTGCAGGTGTTTATAGTGGCAAGATTTTGTTGCTAATATGGAGACCTCTTTGGTTAGTGTCTGCTCTTCAGTGATTTCCTCGGGGCTGGGCTACCTATAGTCCTTTACCTTTATCCCAAGAACCTCTGTTAATTTGAGAAGTAAGGATGCAGTGTAATTGGCCCAGCATCCAGTTGTCTTGGAGTGGATCACAGTATTGTTAATGATGCAAAGGTAATCTAGATAATGGCATACAGAGAAAACCAATTAATAACAACTATGTCACTGCTAATAACAAATCAGCAACAAAAATAGCATCAAAGACAAACCTGATACTGACATACTGTAAGAACCAATAATATACTACCCTGAACCACTGAAAAGAGACCTATAATTATAGTATAAGCACTAAGACAAACAAAATATTGACATATAGTAAATATCTACTAAAGGCAACAACTGTGCCTCCACTAAGAATAGAAAAGAACTCAAAGTAATAACATAGAATTAACTATCTAAAGATTAATAAACCTTACTGGTGATAGTAGTAAAGATAAAGGGGATGGGAGAATGGGAGAATGAAAGAAGAAAAATTCAAAAAATTAAGCAATGGAAGATGAGAAAGAGAAAAGTGAGATAAAGTATCCTATTAAGGAGTAAAAGGAAATTAATAGAATTAGATAAAGGTAAAAGAAAAACAAATCAGAAAAAGAAAAAAGTTAAAAGAAAAAAGAAAGGAGAGAAAAAAAATCCTATAGCCCCCCAAACAGTAAAGAGAGTGGGTCCTGGATTGTAGTTCAGTGGCTCCTTTCCTGCCTGGCAAGTACAAGGTCCTGAGTTTGATCCCCTGTAGAGGGTGGGGGGAGTGGTTTCTTTCTAGGATCTGTAGTTTTGGAGTCCAGCAAGTCACAGTCTTCTCCACCCAGGCTTATGGCCTGTGTGTTTGTGAGGTGACCCCACACCATTCCAGAGGTGCCTCTGTCTGTTCAGCTCAGACTATGGTGACCACCCAAGCCTAGGCATGTCTTGCTCACAATGGTAAATGGGGAAAGCACTCAAGCCTTGGATCTGTGCAGGATGTAGGTAGCAGGGTGAGGCCAAGTAGACTACTGTCCTTAATGCCAGCACTTTCAGACCCAACCACCTCTGAGAGCCACACACTTGGAAAACTAGGAGTTTGAAAATAGTCTGGGCTGGGCTGGGGATTTAGCTCAGTGGCACCGTGCCTCACTAGTGCAAGGTCCCAGTGTATATAGGGGCTCTGGGCAACATGGTGAGGTTTTTTTTTTTTTAAAGAAACAAATCAAAAATTCTGATTGTAGGGGTAAAAATGGGCAGGAGTGTAAAGAAAGATATAAGTTTAAGTCTGTTTGGATCAGTCTGTGCTTGATGTCACAAGGTTTATCCTGTGGGCTTCAGGGATTCTGCAGATTCTGATTGTGTTCCTGTGGGGCGGGGGAGTCCATGACTACTAAAAATGTCTTGTAGATTGGACATTTTTTTTCCTCATTGAGTTTATTGGTACATTTAAGGTATACAGTACAGTTACATTCATTATTAGGATCTTGTACCTTTACATGACAGGTCTTGGTTCTCATTTTATTTTTTATTTATGTATTTTTTTTGGTACCAGGGATTGAACTCAGGTCCTTGTGCTTGCAAGGCAGGCCACCGAACCACTGAGCTAAATCCCCAACCCCTTGGTTCTAATTTTAGATTGGACATTTTATCTGTCACCCCTCATTGAACTGAAATATCTGTGATACTTTTCCTGCATGTATTTAGCACGTTGATGAGAAGCATCTGTCCCTGCAGACTCCTATGGCTGGCTAGTCAGTGATGGTTAGTGATGGTGATCACAATCCAATGTTTGTAGTGTATGTGTTCATTGTTTGTACTGAGTTCTGAGTCCATACTGACTAGAAGGAATATTTTTTATCATTTATGCTTCTGTATATAATGAATTTTGCCTATATAAAAATGTTTTAATAATTACAGGAAATGGGGTACTTTGTTGAAAACTACTTGAGTTTATTTATACATTAATTAGTATACTGTATAAGTCAACTAACCTTTTTTTTTTGGTACTGGGAATCAAACTTGGGTCATTGCACTTGCAAGGCAGGCAGCAGAACCACTGAGCTAAATCCCTGGTCCTCAACTAACCTTTTTAAAGATTTTTTTTCTATAGACTGAAGATATTATTAGACAAGTCCCTTGAAACTGATAAGATAAAAACTATGATTTTTAAGTAATAGTCTATATAATATAAACTCTGATTTTTATGTATGTATGTATGTATTTTGATGCCAAGGATCAAATTCAAGGCCCCAGTATGTAAAGCAAGTGGTCTACAACGGAATTATATCCCCAGCCCACAAAAATTCATTTTAACAAATAAAAGAATAAAATAAAAAAGGGATGAAATAAAAATATAATTTAGCTTGGCATGGTGGCACGCCTGTAGTCCCAGCACTTGGGAGTCTGAGGCAGGAGGACTGCTGCAAGTTCAAGACCAACCTGACCTACACAGCAAGACTCTGCCTCAGAAAAAGACAAAAACAAAACAAAACAAACAAACAAAAGAATATAATTCAGAAAATGATTATTTATCAAAGACAGTAAGATAGTTGCAAACAATGGCACTTTTTTGTATATAATACTTACAAATCATGGAAGAATAACATAAACTATTAAGTTACTTTTTTCCAAATTAAAATTTTATATAGACCCCCCCCAGTACTAGGGATTAAACCCAGGACATCATGCACGCTAGGCAAGTGCTCTACCACTAAGCTACATCCTTGACCCATATATAAAATTTTTAAAAAAGGTTACAAGCAGCTGAGCTTGGTGGTACACACTTATAATTCTACCACTCTGGGAAGATAAGGGAGGAGGATTCTAAGTTCAAGCCCAGCTGAGCAATTCAGTAACTTAGCAAAACCCTGTATCAAAAAAAAAAACCACAAGCAGTTTTTGCAAGTTGCTTTTAAATAACTGTGTTCCAATTCTCTCCTTCATTGTTCATCTCTTCAAAAGACCAACAACATGTAACATGACCAGTCCAAACAATCACTGAAAAGAAGGCTCCAAAACCCAGCTAAATCTAACCAACTGGAAAGAAGAAGCAGGTGTCTGTGAGACTTAGACTTTGTTTGCTTCCAAGAAAACCAGGCTGCCCTGTATTTCTTACCCTGGAGATAGATGCTTTTTCTCTCAAACAGAGCTGTCTGGAGTTGTGAGATCACCTCACCCTACTCTACCCTACAGAACTAATTATTGAAAAAAAGCATGAAGATCCAACTCAAGCTAATTTCTTCTGTTGTACAAAGAACTTTCAAGTAGTTATTCAGCTTGCCTCTCTCCAAGACAAAGTAAAATACAATTATCTAAAAAAGGGGGAGGGAGAAAAGGGGAAGTAAAAATTAAGATGCTAGGTATACCAACTCCCCATGATAAATGTAATCATTATGTACTGCAAATATATACTGATAAAAATAAAAATTAAAAAATAAAAAGGACTCAATTTCTCACTTAAAAATGATTCTTGTGCATTAAAAAATTCAAAATTGCCTATACTTCTATACCAATTAGTCACTGTTGACAATCATCACGTGTAGTTTTATATACTGTAGCTGATCATACTGCCTATTATCTAGTATCTGGTTCTTTTTCATATCATAGCAATTTTTCTCATTTGAAAATTTCATGTTCGCTTTTTCTAAAACTGCCTAGTATTCCAGGATATGGCTATAATAATCTAAGCAGTTTAAAGTTTAACTATCCCTTAGACATTATAACCATTCCATACTTTCATGCTATTATAAATAATGCCATGGTGATTGGCCACAAAGTCTTTGCACATTTCATGAAGTTGAAAGTGTGACTAAAGCATGGTATTCAGCTAAATGCACCCAAGAAAGAAGTACCACTTGATGTTCCCCGGGCTGGTGAACATCTATTTTTTAATCTTGTATCTTGAGTTGCATCTCTCTCTCTCTCTCTCTCTCTCTCTGAATTGCATCTTTTAAGTTCAGTATTCTTGGTGTTTTAAAACATGATAATTCCATTTGACTGGAAATTTCAAAGCATCTTTGTCATAATTGTAATTTTATCAGAAACCGCAGTGGATACCTGAATTGAAGTAAATCACAGATTTAAATCCTTATCAGTAACATACAACAGTTTATAAAAGCAATCTAAACAGATGAGGAAAGTAGAAAACTTCAATTAGTTATTAACTAAAATAAAAACTTTGAGATTGTCAAACATTTATCAACTCCTTTCTAAGTAAAGTTCAAAGTCAATCTCTTTTCATAAACTTGCCTTTAACGTCTCAATTATTTACTGAAACCAGTTATCTACCTTGAAGGAAATCATTTGGCATTAAATAATAACAGTACCTGTCTCAGTATCTTCCTAGGATCATAATTACCTATTTCCATCACCTCGTACTTAAATTTAGAAGGAATTCAGAGTGCTCCAAAAGGAAAAGGAGGAGCACATATATTTATACATACTATACTCTTACTATACTTATATTATAGAGAGCTAAGTTAGATAGAAATATTATAGGCAATGAGACAGGGGTAGGTACTTGAGGGAGTCAGTGCAGAAGATGAGAATACATTACAGCTATGGCTTGAGGTGCATCTGTCTAAGGCCAGGCCTCATGATAAAGATGGGATGACTAGGCCTACATGCCTTGCTGAAAGATAAACAATAAATTGAAGATTATACTTACCTGGTCCCATAAAGTCTCAATCAACATCAGTCACCCAAGTGGGTGACCAGGACCTTCTGATCTAACTCTTCCTAAAAATGTCTTTGTTCTTCCACGTACCCTTGCTATGTGACCTGCTTCCCCATTAAATCAATATTACCTAAGTAGCTATACTTGTAATCTTATTGGTTGATCATAGTTTTGACCCATAGGGTGGGTAGCACTCACACCCAGGGTGGGGCACCACAGAAGCAAATTTTTTGAAAGGCATATTATTGGTGGTGTGTAATGCCCATGTTTATTTTTTAGAAGTATTTCTATTGATAAATTATTAACTTTAATTTTATGAGTTTTATCAGAAACTAAAAGTGTAAATAAGGATCAAAAGGTATACTAGATAATGTGAAATAAGAAAAAGTGCAAAGGGGAGAGAAGGGGGAGGGGAAAGGAAAAGAAGGGAATAAAATTAATATGAGAAAAGGAAAAAAATGGAAACAAAGTCTCTGCACATAGGGAGGGGGTAGAAGGGCTGAAGAGAGGGCAGGGGAATGGGGAAAAATAAGAACCAAGACATATTATGTAGGGTCAGGGATTTAGCTCAGTGGTTCCGCCACCTGCCTCCTAAGTACAAGGCCCCAAGTTCAATCCCCAGGACCAAAAACAAAACAAAACAAACATATATGTATGTATATATATGTTATGTAAAGGTACAAATTTCCAATGATAAATGTCATTATATTGTATACCTAAAATGTACCAATAAAATTAATTTTAAAATTTAAAAAAACAATGTATACTTAACAGAAAATATCAACAAAATACAATATTAAAATTTTAATATGTAATGGGTATTTATAATAAACAGCAACACTTTCAATATCAACTGTCTACCTGCTTACAAGGTCTAAAAAGTAATAGCAGAAATAAATTCTTCTGTGAACTACAATGAAAATACAAATAAAAATCTACCACAGAAATAATTTTTCGTTCAATTATCATACTTAAGGCAGTCTTCACACATGACAACGGCATGTTCCATACCTAAGTCTCGCTTACACTGACAGCACATCTATTTTTTTACCTGTCTTCTTTGACAGCTTGATGGTCTTCCTGTTTTCTTAGAAGTTTCTTATGATGTTTCACCTGTCTATTCACCAGTCTGTTCCAGAATTCTTTTGCAGAGTTCTTTCGGTAGATACATATTACTCTTCCTCTGTTGTAATTGATGATTTATCAATTATAGTCCCAATCCTCTAAGAACATTTTTCTGTGATATTTTGTGCTTGTTACTTTCTTTGTAAACTAAGAAACTATTTATGCCTGAAACTTCTAGTTTTTTCGGTACCAGGGATCGAACTCGGGACCTTGCACTTGTAAAGCAGGCAGCAGATCAACCGTGCTAAATCCTCAGCTATGCCTGAAATGTTTAGGATCAAGTAAAACACAATCATTGGCCAATGCCTTGTGTTCCAGTGACATAGTTGCTGCTTGTTGACAACAACTACCCTGCCTTTCATTTTGTTGTAAAATGTGACCATTTATGGCTTCATTTCTGTTAAGGATTCACTATAACTTGTTTTGAGATAGGGTCTTGCTAAGCAGTCCAGGGTAGCCTTGAACTGTACAGCACAGGCTGACCATGAACTCACAGGATCCTCCTGCCCCAGTGCCTGCCTCACTCCTCCCCAAGTGTTGGAATTACAAGTGTGCACCGCCACACCTAGCTTGGCTATCATTCTTATTATCATGGTATAATGTTGACAGTATCAATACTACTTTTTCTTCACCATATAGGAGGCTATTGTTATGACTTAATGAAATCCAAAGATTGTACTATACATTCCTCTATTGTAAACTTGCAATGTTTTTTTCAGGAAACTTGGCTGTTTTCTTGCACATAATTCCTTTGCTGGTCCACTGGTTTTCTTTTAGCAAATGTAACATCAATGGGTAACTAGTGAACCAAGTGTTGAATGTCACATGTGGATTACTTCTTGAAATATGTGCAACAAATCTGTTTACAAAGTGATATGGTTAATTACTGCATGAATAAAGACCTGATGGCTGAGTTCCAGGATAAATTTCTAAATTCAAGGTGTCTTCACATCTACCAGGGCATATAATTTTATACCATTTTTGGAAGTTTTACTTCGCATATATTGCGAAAAGCTTTGACAACCATGAAATGCTGCAAGTTGTTCATCAATTGTCATGTATTTGGACTGTATACATTGTTTGACAGTTTGAAACAAAGCATTCAAAAAAGGAGCCAAACTGTCAGATTTTTTTTCTTTCTTGGTGGGTCTTGTTGTTGTTAAAATGTAGGCAATTTCAGGGCTGGGGCTTTAACTCAGTGGTTCCACCACCTGCCTTGCAAGCACAAGGGACCCACGTTTGATCCCTGGTACAAAAAAAAAAAAAAAAAAAAAAAAAAAAAAAAAAAAAGGCAATTTCAAAGAAAGCCAAAATCTCTTGAGTATCATTATTGTTCTAAAAATCTCAATGACATATCTGTCACTTCTCCATAAATGCTTTAGATTCTGATAAAGTTCTGCTATGAAGGCTTTTACTTCAGATAGTGAGGTGTCATGATACTTTTTTTTTTTAGTATTACTAATGATCCATATAGAATATTTTCTTGCATTTCATTATTAGTGTATTTCAAAACATCTTGTAGCACACCATTTAGTACAAACAAGTTCCAACACTGAATCACAGTGTTGGTGTTTCTTCCAATAGGTTTCACTGATGGTAAGAACCTAATAATATTTTCTGACCTAGGTTTCACATTGGATCATTCAGGTATACATAACTATTTTGAGGTATTTTTTTATTTTTTTGTACTGGGGATTGAACTCAGAACCTTACACTTGTGAGGCAGGCATAGTGCCACTAAGCTAAATCCCCAGCCCTTGTAGCATTTTGACTAGTCAAATATTTATTTACATTACTGTTTTCTTACACATCTGAATCAAAGTTTTCATCTGTACTTATCTAATATATTTTGCTAACTTATTTGATTTACATGAACCAAGTGATCATCAATAGTCAAGTCACCTGGTGACTCACTTTCAACCTCTTCCCATACTTGTAAAGGCAGATTTTCATGCATTATTGTACTGAATTGGCCTAATTCTTTTTTTGGGGGGGGTACTGGGGATCAAACTTAGGACCTTGCACTTGCAAGCCAGGCAGTGGCACCCCTGGCCCTGAATTGGCCTAATTCTACAACAAAAATCAAAAGAAAACATTTAATAATAAAATTATGAACACACAAAAATGTAACATGGCACATGTGGTGGTTAGTTACTTAACGGTCTACTTGATGGGATTCAGTTAGCATGGTTCTCGGTGTGGAAGACCCACTTAAGGAGGATTGGTGTCAGAATGGTACAAAAAGAGAATGGGAGGGAAAGATTTCATCCTGATTTTTCTTGGAGAAGCTTCAGCTGTTCTGTTTGGAGTTTTCATTTTCACCTCTACCAGGGATGGCTACTGTTGTTATCTTTGGAGTTCTAATCTTCACCTTTATCTTGAGCATCATCTCCTGCCTTCTGGCACAGACTCTTCAGCTTCCAGCATTGGCCTTCCAGCCTGCCTGTACAGACACCCCAGCCTCTAGCACCTTGGGCTTTCAGCATAGACCCTACAGTCCTTCATCACAGATCCCTTGGCCTCCTACAATGTACTCATGCAAGACATTGCCATGGGATCCAGGCCCTTGACTGATTTCTTT